AGAGAGTAGTGACAGTGTAATAGCCATAATGTTAGTGTTATAGCCATAATGTTAGTGTTATAGCCATAATGTTAGTTGTGTATAAAACAGGCTATTGGAATACCTCATCCTTTGAATTTTTAAATGGCGAGTTTTCGATAACATTAACATTTTCGTCGTATACTGCCGCGTAATGATTTATCGATTATTATCATTACGAGATTAGCTGGACACACATTGACCTAGCATGAAGTACTGATCATTGTCGTATTTTGCTAGGTTTCGATACCTAAAACCTCCACTCTCAATGTTGCCGGATTACTCACTTCTTTATTACCCAGTGTAGTGGAATATGTATGTACTATAAAGGCTTTATTTATTGTATTCGTTATATAATTTTATAAGAGGTTGAATATATAGAGACAAATTGAAATGATCAATGAGCGACCTGCGACAGTCGTCCGCGTCAAAATGTTGAATAGATTTCCAATTTAATATTAAAATGCTCTCATTTATACAGTTTGGTTGGAGAGCTAGTGTGGGCTATAACGTATTTGAATGTACTGAGTTCACGATATGCCTCCTCTCCAAGTGCACAGTGTGTACTGTGTTAACTGTGTAATCTTTTGATTTATTTATTCATCTAGTTTATTCAAATATATATTACAAACTTAACAGTTATAAAACTTACGTTGTGACAGGATAGCTAAATTTGTTCCTCCGAGCCAGTGAGCATTGGTATTTTGTCTCTAGCGGAAACTGTAAAATTTGCTAAACATTCTCCGATTCTCACACAGCTCCGCTTAATTTGACTATTACCTGTGCTGCATATCATAAAGTTCTGGTATAGTATTGGTAAACGATGGCCCCCTTAACTACTGCAAATTATACCTGCAAAATGGTTTTATCTTAACTACTGCAATTTACGTGCAAGATGGTTTTATCTAATTGGGTGGTTTGTACAACACTCAATAAATCCTTCCATGCGAGTGCAAATGTTTCTCCCTTCCGATTTCTTCCCCTTTGTATCACTTTTATATTTTTGTCTCTCTGTACAGGCCTCACTCACCTTTAAGATGTTGTCACGAGTATCTCGATTTATGGTTTATGTTTAGACAACACCTTTTAATCTGTATCACCTCTGTGAGCCCCAGGATCCCTTGCCATGCTTTCGTTCTGTGTGTCTCCAGATACTTATTCCAATGATTGTTATCGTTTTAGATTATTGTGGATGAGAGGTCTTGATTATGGGTACAAATTTGAATCTGAAGAGAAGAAGGAAGATTTCTCTGTGGCTTCTTTATTGTTCCTTCTTTAAATCTTGTTTCATTTGGTCCGAGCTCAGAGAACTGTAGATTACACTGAGGTTGTGGGGCTTCCCTTGTATATTCATATTGTATAATGTATAGTGGATTCATTGGTCCTGATAATCTTATACCGTTAGCAATTGAGCCCAAGATCACCATGGAGTTTGATCATGTTACGTGTATAGCCCATTTCATTTTAAGCATATACAAGTAAATAGCTGTTAAATTAACAATTAACTGAGCTAACAGTAACAATTAACTTCAGGTTCACAAACTTTATACTGTGCTTTAGTAGTTTGAATTATAACTATATTTTAAAGCCTAACGTCGTGTTTTATTTGAAGGATATTTTTTTTTTTTTCCCAAAAAACCAAATTTAATTTTTTAAAAAAAAAGGGGGGAAAAAAAAAATTTTTTCCCGGGGGGGGGGGGGGAAAAAAAAAATTTTTTTTTTTTTTTTAAAAAATTTTTTTTTCCCCCCCGGGGTTTTAAAAAAAGTTTTTTTTTAAAAAACCCCCCCTTTTAAAAAAAAAAAAATTTTTTTTTTAAAAAAATTTTTTAAAAAGGGAAAGGGGGAAATTAAAAAAAAATTTTTTAAAAAAAAAAAGGAAAAACCCTTCCAATTTTTTTTAATTTTTTTTTTTTAAAAAAACCCCCTTTCCCTTTTGGGGGTTTTTCCCCCTTTTTTTTTTTTTTGGGAAACCCCTTTTTTTTTCCCCTTTGGCCCCCCCCCCCCAAAGTTTTTTTTTTTAAAAAAAAAAAAAAAATTTTTTTTTTTTTTGGGGGGTTTTTTGGAAAAAATTTTGGGGGGTTTTTTTCCCCTTTTTTTTCCCTTTTTTTTTTTGGGAAAAGGGAAAAAAAAAAAAATTTTTTTTGAAATTTTTTGGGGTTTTTTTTTTAAAAAAAAATTTCAAAAAGGCCCTTGGGGAAAATTTTTTTAAAAAAAAAATTTTTTTTTTTTCCCCCCTTTAAATTTTTTTAAAAAATTGGGAAATTTTTAAAAAAATTTTTTTTTTAAAAAATTTTTTAAAAAAATTTTTTTTTAAAAAAAAAGAAAAATTTTTTCAAAAACCTTTTGGGGTTTTTTTTGGGAAAAAAAAAAAGGGGGTTTTTTTTTTTGGGGAAAGGGGGGGGGGGGGGGGGGGAAAAAAAATTTTGGGTTTAAATTTTTTTTTTTCTTTTTTAAGGGGGGGGAAAAAAATTTTTTGGGGGTTTTTTTTTTTTCCCCAAAAATTTTTTTTTTGGGAAAAAAAAAAAAATTTTTTTAAAAAAAACCCGGGGTTTTTTTTTTTTTTTTTTTTAAAAAATTTTTTTTTTTTTTAAAAAAATTTTTTTAAAAAACCCGGGAAAAAAAAGGAATTTTATAAAAAATTTTTTTTAAAAAAAATTTTTTAAAAAAGGTTTAAAAAAAAACCCCAACTTTTTGGGGGGGGGGGTTTTTTTTGGGGGGAAAAAGGGGGGGAAACCCAAAAAAGGTTTTTTCCCCAAAAAAATTTTTTTTTTTGGAAAATTAAATTTTGTTTTTTTTTCCTATTTTTTTTTTCCTTTTCCGTTTTTTAAAAAGGTTAAAATTTTAGGAATTTTTTTTTTTCCCGGCCCCAAAAGGGGGGTTTTTAAAAGGGAAAAAAAAAAAAAAAAGGGTTTTTTTTTTAAATTTTTTAAACCCCTTTTTAAAGGGTTTTTTTTTTTTGGGGGTTTTTTTTTCCCCAAAGGGGAATTTAAAAAATTTTTTGGGTTTTTGGGGGGGAAAAGGGGGGGAAAAAAAGATTTTTTTTAAAAAAAAAAAATTTTTTAAAAAAATTTTTTTTTAAAAAAATTTTTAAAAAAAAATTTTTTTTTTAAAAAAGGGTTTTTTTTTTTTTAAAAATTTTCCCCCCCAAAAAACCAAAAAAAAAAAAAAATTTTTTAAAAAAACCCCCAAAAAAAAAAATTTTTAAAAAATTTTAAAAAAAGGGGGGGTTTGGGGGGAAAAAAAAAGGGGGGGTTTTTTTTTTAAAAATTTGGGGGCCCCCCCCAAAAACCGGGTTTTTAAAATTTTTAAAATTTTTTTTTAAAAGTTTTTTTAAAAAAAAAAAAACCCCTTTCCCCCCCAAAAAAAAATTTTTTTTTTTGGTTTTTGTTTTTGGGTTTTTAAATTAAATTTTTTTAAAAATTTTTTTTTTTTTTTAAAAAAATTTTTTTTTCCAAAAATTAAAAATTAACCGGGAAATTTTTGGGAATTTTTTTGGAAAAAATTGGTATTAAAAAAAATTTTTTAAAAAATTTAAAAAAAAATTTTAAAATTTTTTTTTTTTTTCCCAAAAAAATTTAAAAAAGGGCCCCGGGGGTTTTTCCCCCCAAAAAAAACCCAAAAAAAAAATTTTTTCCCCCCCCCTTTTCCCCCCGGGGGAAAAAAAAAGGGTTAAAAAAAAAAAACCCCAAAATTTTTTCCCCCCCCCCTTTTTTTTTTTAAAAAGTTTTTTTTTTTTTTTCCCCCCCCCTTTTTAATTTTAACCCTTCCCCAAAGGGGGGAAAAAAAAATTAAAAAAAAAAAACCAAAAAAAAAAAAAACCCCCCCCCAAAAAAAAAAAAAGGGGGAAAACCCCAAACCCTTTAAAAAAATTTTAAAATTTTTTTTAAAAAAAAAACCCCCCAAAAATTTTTTTCCGCCCCTTTTTCCCCGGGGTTTTTTTAAATTTTTACTTTTTTTAAATTCGGGTTTTTTGGGGGAAAAATTTTTTTCCCCCCCAAATTTTTTTTTTTAAAAAATTTTTTTTTTCCCTTTAAAATTTTTCCCCCCCTTTTTTTTTTTAAAAAAAATTTTTTTTTTTAAAAAAGGGGAAAAAAAAAAAATTTTTTTTTTTGGGGAAAAAAAAAAGGGGGTTTTTTTCCCCCCCCCTTTTTTTTTTAAAAAAACCCCCAAAAAAAGGGGGGTTTTTTTTTTTTGGGGGGTTTTTTTTTTTTAAAATTTTTTTTAAAAAAAAGGTTTTTTTTTAAAAAATTTTTTTTTTTTTTTGGGTTTTTTTTTTTTTGGGGGGGGGGGCCTTTAAACCCATTTTTTTTAAAAACCCCCCTTTAAGCCCCCCCAAAAAAAAACCCTTTCCAAAATTTTTCCCCAAAAGGCCCAAAAAAAAAAAAAAAAAGTAAAAAAATTTTTAATAAAAAAAAAGGGGGAATTTGATTTTTTTAAAAATTTTTTTAAAAAAAATTTAATTTTTTTTTTAAAAAAATTTTTTTTAAAAATTTTAAAAGGGGGGGGGGAAAAAAAAAAAAGGGTTTTTTTGGGGTTTTTTTTAAAAAAGTTTTTTTTTTTTTTTTAAAAAAAAAAAAATTTGGAATTTCCCCTCCCGGGGGTTTTTTTTTTTTTCCCCCCCCAAAAAAAGGGGGAGAAAACCCCCAAAAAAAAAAAACCCCCCAAAAACCCCCCCCCCCCCCCCCAAAAAAAAAAAAAATTTAAACCAAAAACTTGGGGGGGTTTTAAGGGGGGGAAAAAAATTTTAAAAAAAGGGTTTTTTTTTTTTTTGAAAAATTTTTAAAAAAAAAAAAATTTTTCAAAAAAAAAAAAAAAAAAAAAAACCCTTTTTAAAAATTTAAAATTAAATTTTTTTGGGGGGAAAAAGGGGGTTTCAAATTAAAAAATTTTTTTTTTAAAAAATTTTAAAAAAAGGGAAAAAAATTTAAAAAAAAATTTTTTTTTTAAAAAAAAAGGGGGTTTTTAAAAAATTTTGGTTTTAAAAAAAACACAGATTAATGTCGAATTTTAAGAAATGCACTAGTGCCAGAAGATTTTTAATAAATTCAAAGATAATTATATTTGTTGAAGCTAGTATAATTGATATGTAAAATGTCGGTAATGTAGAATGCCAATGATTCTCTTTCTTCGCACTCATGTGGTTAATTGCGGTGCAGTGCATATTGTAGCGCCAATATTCATGATACATATATGTATTAAATTGTTATTATTGTTATATTACAGATGACACAATTCATGTTCAAACCTTATTTTTACGTTTCATGACAGAAAAAAAAACAACCCAGTTTTGTTTGTACCAACACGGAACATGAAAATGCACCACATTCCTCAACAATAGCTGCATTAAATTGACCACAACTGCTCAGGTCTTAGTTCCAAAGATCAGCTGAAGTAATTTATACGTAAAGACACAGACAAACTGACCACTAAAGAACGTTCCAGACTCCAGAGACTGTGGAAAGCGGTTGCTATTCCAATTTAATACACGAGCTAATGAATAGTTTGTAGGGCAAAATTAAACATTCACAAATTTCAAAGTCGAATTGCGTGCCAGGAATACGAGATCTATCACAATGTAGAATGTAACCGCTGTTGTGACCAGTATTCTCTAAATACTTAAATAAGGTGACTCTTCGTTCATTATCTTCTCTGACGAGAACAGTGATCAGTATTCTACAGTTTTACATGGGGATATTCGATACAAGGCTACCCAGTCTGTTATTATCGTAGCAATGGGCGATCAAGCGAGGCTGAGTAGTAAGCAGCTCACCCTCCAGAGATACATTTACATCGCCTGGCTAGCGGATAACAAAGGGGCAAAGGACACCGAGGTGCAGCGTTCCGGGCGAGGAGAAGGATATAATGAACAGTGGGCCACTTCTATGAGATTACAATATCACCCCTTATATGAAAGGTTTGCTACACCGTGAACACGTCATGGTAATCGGAAAATGTTGGGCAAATCATTGATGTCGACTCACGACAGTCTCGCTTTGACACCCAAAGTAAGACAATAAATTATTATCTTTGTAAAATTAGAGATCATTTTATGAGAGGTTAAACAATGATCTGGTTTCATTGTTCATTCCCATACACCAGGGCATGAAGTCGTATTAAAATAGGCGGATATTCGAAATTTGGCATATAACCAGTGGGAAAGCGGTTGCGCGCGTTAAAATGCGCGTCTCAAAGTACGTACAAATAACAGAAAATATCTCCGCGTGTTCCAAATCCGCAGTCGATAAATCAACAAATTACGTAAATTATGCGGTATGCTGTCATAATATGCAACAGATGGCTTCATATGATATTTACGCTAAACAGTTTTTTCGGTATATATCATCGAGACAATCTACCTATTAAACATTATCAGTATAATAATGTGACATTAGCTTATAAGTGATCATGACTCATGAGTCGTGAACAAAACTGTTGTCAAAACTTAATCTCATAAAAGATTTAATTACGAAAAGTAATAAGCACTTGATGTGAACGTTGGTGTCAGGTTGGATGTACAAGTATGCAGACAAAAGCAAATTTTTAACTCATAAATGCTCGTGAAATTTCTCTAAGAAAAGATATGACGTAATATTAACATTCGTGATAATCCTGTATCTGTCCGTGACAAATACTTTCGCTTCAAATTAGATACATGCTTTGACCGCGGTAAATAAATGTATAAATTAAACTCGAAACATAATGAAAACTCAGATCAGAAATGCATCTAAAACACTTTTGTCCTGTTGAAGAATGCACCACTGTGTCTTATCTCTCGTCGTCAAAGAAGCAATTGGAAACACGATGGTAGATCGTTAACTATTATCATTAACTCAAATGTCTGGTCGCACTCTGTAAGTCAACACCAGGGGTAAATCCTGGGGAAACTTTTGTTAAAATCTGGGGACAAGGACACGTTTTAATGTTATCTCCGGGAAAATTATTTATTACTCGCATGTTTCTGTCGAATTTCTGATATTCGAATATAACTGAGTGTTCACTATTTTTATAGTACCAACTGCAACACTACTTGAAGCCAACTACGAGAATGTGTGAACATAAATTAACATATAATGTGCCGGTGCCCCCCCCCCCCCCCCCCCCCCCCCCAATTCGATTATAATGTCATGTCATGTCAGATTTCGACATATTATGGTCCAGTAGAAAGCTAGATAGCTTTTAGTACCTGATTAAATTTGTTAGATACAGTGACTAGCTTAATTAAGATTCGACATGTTGACTGTTGAGCACACAACTTGCAATTCAACATTTGCTATGTTCGATATATATAGTCAAATTAAAATATGTCATACTTACATTAAATCTATTTATTGTTAGTATCTAACAATCACGCACGATGTTAATTAATTGTGCATTTATTATGAATTATTTGTAAGAATAAATCAACTTTTTAAAAGGAGCATTCATGAAATCGTATCATATTTTTGATCATAACAATCATAATGATTAAAGAAATTGTGTTCAGAGGATTATGATAAAGGTAACTGGTAACGCCCTACTTCCAGTGGGTTAATAAACCCACTCTTAATATACACAGTATAAATACTATAACTGTTTATAAATACTATAACCGTTTACCTTAGTTCTCCATCTCGTCATCTTGATAAACTCAAGAGTATGGTCTTTACCCAGTATCTCATCATTACACAATATGTCCAACTGAAATGTCATGATATTAATGCTTTTCAAACAAAGTTACAACGAATTCTTCAGGTAGTGCATCCTGGGTTTGACAGGATATGCCCGTTTAAAATATTTCCATCACGTTACATTATATAATTCTCAATAAATGTAATAGATTTGTAGTGTTGTAATTAGTTTAATTAGAGTTCCAGCTATGTAAAAGTAGAGTAGATAATATTGGTAAATATAATTTACTCTGATATTATATCAGTAGTAGATAAATTAATAATATTATCTAGGTACTCTAATACTATATTAGTAGTAGGTAGTATAAGTAGTAGATAATATCTACTCTAATTACTAATACTATATTAGTATTAGATAATATTAGTACTGAGTGAAGCTCTAGATAGCGTCCAGTTGACTGATGGCCATCGACACAGCTGTGGAACAAGACACCAAAAGAAGGTTAATGGATGGGCGGGATAAGTTTACAACTATGTGATGTGTGTTCTGCAGAACACATGTACAGTAAAAGCCCGGTTTACTGCGGAGTTTGGGGAAAGGAAACATCCGCGGTAAATCGGGGTTTTGTTTTTTAAATATACATGTACATGTTACCGTAAGCTCTATTTGGGGAAAGGAGATGGCTGCGGTAAATCTGTGTTTGCGGTAAATCTGTGTGCGCGGTGAATCGGGGCGCGGTAAATCGGGGTTTTACTGTAGTAACTAGCATGTCAGGACATTGTTTAATGTTTACATTCCTTATAATGCCCATTTGTTGTTACATTACAATTATCATGTTTACTAACAACTATCATCTACTAGAAACCCGCTAGTCAAAAGCTTTGTTCGAGGAAATCTAAAAAATCAGTCATGATTTGATTTCTCTTCATCGTCTAGCTCTTTATTGTACAAAGTATACATATTTTATTTGACGATGACGACATATATAATGTTGCTAGAATTCCCCTCCAGTGTGATAGTAGAATTAACGTCAGTGGAGAAAACAGCACTTAAAATAGTTCTTTCTGGGAAATGTCTAATTGTTTCTGACTTAACTCAGTGATAACAATGTTATACTGGGGGGTAACAGGTTACAACATACAACGTAGTATTAATTAATACTCTCAATAAATTTATTTATTTGTAGTTGTGATATTGGTTTAAAACTTAAAATAAACTGTATCAAAACAACTTCAAATTCATTACATTTATAAAAATTAATGTGGATTGTGGATCATTACAGTTATCCTCAAGTTCCACTTGCTGACTTCGCATTACAGAAAGAAAACCTTTAAAAATGAAGAAAAAATGATTTGAGACCAGAACAAGTTCACTTTGCAGCACTTATACTGTGATTCTGGCTTCACAATTGAACTGCATTTTGTTCAAGATAGCGAAATCATAATCGAGAAACAAGTGAAAGAATAAATTCTTCACATATTTTAATCATCATGAAAGTGTTGACTGTTTGTTAGCTAGGTCGTCTCCACAATTATAATCGCACTCAATTCTGAGTATTTCTCTTAGCAAGTGTGTGAACTTTCGAGTAGGGTAGAAATAATCTCATTCGCAAATTTGCCGTGTAAAGATTATATTACTTATTCACGTGTGATTACACGTAAGAATGCCATAGTTATTCCCCTAACGCCAGAACTGGGGTTTGAGTAGTTATTAATCATATGAACGACTGACAAAGTCTATTTTCTATGTTTGAAACGATGCCAAAAATCAAAGTTATATATTCTAACTTGGTATTCGTAAATGTTACGATGTATAAGTGCGTAGTAACCATTCATTTAGTAACCATTCGTTTTAAACCCTTAAGCCATAGCAAGCATAATCTGCACAGAATACTTTCTATTTAAGGTATTGTAACTTATTCTCCGCAGTTGAATAACGTTTCTCTGCATCGCAAGTTGCAGAGTTAGTTTACTTTTAAGGTACTTAATTAACTATATAATATACATTGTTCAAATGATTGATCAATATGAAATATTGAACACCAAGATAAATGCAATCTTCAACCAAAAATACGCAAACAGGAAATATAGTCAGTCTCACATCTTCCTGCTGAACATTGAGTTTAGTCTGGACGAACTTCTTGATAACTCTGATGGGGCACCTAGCCGGACAACCAAGGATTGGTTTAGAGAGCTCCTGTAGTGTTCCGTTCTGGGGGAAGTTTAGTAAAGTTTAGTAAAGTTTAGTAAAGTTTAGTAGTAATAATAACTAAGCAGTTATTGACTTTAGTGAGTTGGAAAAGTAAACATCATTAAACCTATAGATTCAATTTATTTATAGCGTCTTGTTTTTGTCTGTGAACACATCATCACCCAATTTACACAGCACACAATAGTACAGTTTCTGTTTCATGTACATTCCACACATTCAACAGTAGTCACCCACATTCCGTACATACCTTGTCCTCCATCTCAGAGTCACTGCTGCTGTTACCATTCACAGTGGTCTTGTGAGGATCTACTTGTACTGGTACAATGTAGTCACATGTGTTGTGTAGTGGTGGTAGCGGCGACCTGTTATAGAGGAGTAGTTAGTAAGGTAGTCACCAGTAGTCACTGATAGTCACTAGTATATTATAGTAGTCACTAGCATAGTAGTCACTAGTATAGTAGTCACTAGTATAGTAGTCACTAGTATAGTAGTCACTAGTATAGTAGTCACTAGTGTAGTGGTTCTGGTAGAGGTGACCTGGTTAGTAAGGTAGTCACTAGTAGTCACTAGTAGTCACTAATAGTCACTAATAGTCACTAGTAGTCACTAGTAGTCTGCATTATTTTGTAGCTGTAAGTGTTAGATAAAAATACCAGTAATTACTCTCTTAGTGGTAGAGGCCACGTGATAACATATGTGGTTTTAGAAAATTAGTCTGTAGTATCATACTGTATGTTAGTCTGTAGTATCGTATATATATATATATATAATATACTGTATGTTAGAAGTAGAATAATACTTATTTTTATTATCTTATCAAGTAGAATGTAGATGTTAATTAGCACAGGACTTGTTTAAGTGGACTCTTTATAAGGGACTCGATAGAAGGGACTCATTTTCAGTAAAAATTTGGGACAGATGCTCAATTCAGATGTGCAAGGTTATGTTAATGTTAAATTGCTATGTATGGCGTTGCTATTCTTAAATACCTCTAAATTAGTCGTTCAATAAGCTATCAAAATAGCTACTAGACATGACAAATGACGATATAATTGCTCTGCTTGCCCACCAAGTTTCTGTAATGTTAAATACCGTTGTCTACGTTATCGGCCCCGAATATATTTAGCGCAAGTTGACCTCACAAAATGATTCTTTTAAAGGTATTGTCGGTATTTATAGCCCCGTTTTGGTATTTACGGTATAGTATTTCAGATTTCTAGGTATTTATAGCATAGCTATTAGTTTGGGTATATATTGTTCTCGCATGACATGACAGATATATCATAATATATAATATATATTTAAGAAAGTAAAGGTATATGCGTATGCAAGTATTAAAAGATAATTGAAAGTAATCTAAAGTAATCAAAAACAATCAAAAGTAGGTATTTGTAGGAATTTGGAGGTTTATTCAGATTATTGTCACTTCTGTTTGGCGATTGTTTCAACGTTAAATATAAATATGACAGAGTTTGACAGCACTAAGCATTATTCGTGACTGAACACAATACGGTACTATATACCTAGAAAAGTATTAACACAGGTGGTAATATTCCCCACAGCGGATTAGGTAGCTAATAGTATTTAATATCATCAGTGTCCGGTAACATCTCTTAACTTCCTCCTGATAAACAATGTACAATAATAACTGGGCTATGTGGAGTTGCACCAGATAACATTGTTTATAAACAGTATTGTTTAGTTTAAGTGATATTTAATATTCCAGAAGATCTGTGCGTCTGTCACCAGCAAATGACCAAACAATAGAGCAAACAATGACAGAACAATGGACCAAACAATAGCTAGTATTAAATAGCAGACCGTTTACTGGTGGGGTTTTTGGTGAATAAGATTTTGCTACAGAGATAATCGTATTAATGAACCGGTGACATTTGAGCGGTGTGGGATCTCCTTAACGCAGTTTATCTATAACTAGCAGGAACCCGTCTAACCCTAAAATGGTGTCAAGACTCAAGAGACTAAAACAATTATTACCTATTTAATTCGCGTTTTTGACACCACTTGGGGTACCAAATTTTGGGCTCTAAAACTCCTATTTTTTGGCCAATTTTTTATTTTTTCATGCTGATTTGGAGGCCATTAAAGCATTTGACCCAGTCAAAAAAGTTTCAGGTGTATATCTTTGACGGTTTTTGCAGAAATTCGCGTTAAAGTTGATGCCGTGGTGTCAGTAAAATGGCACAGATAAATATATATATATATCGTCTCGCTTTATATATAGTAAGATAGCTGGATTAGCTGGTGAGACGTTTTAGTAATGTGATTAGGTAGTGTTCTATTATTAGGTAGTGCTCTATTAGTGTTCTATTATTAGGTAGTGCTCTATTAGTGTTCTATTATTAGGTAGTGCTCTATTAGTGCTCTATTAGTGCTCTATTATTAGATTAGGTAGTGCTCTATTACTAGAATGTTTATTGCAGTGGAAGGTATGATAAAACAGATTGAAATAATGTGATGTAGCGATATAATGAGAAATACCTGTAACTGAATATTAACCGTTAAGGAATCAAGTTTTAATATGTACAATGAAATATATATAGCAATTCAGAGCTGTTCTAAATTTTCGTGTTTTAATTCCAACATAGGTCCTTTCATTAATTTACGGTTATACACGTTGCAGCTAGCCTAGATATGATGCATATTTATATTATGTAATACATATTATGTAATATTTATGTTGTATTATATAGTGGCGTTAAAACGGCGCTCAAGAACCCTTTTCCAGATAGATAAAATTATTAGAGCAAAACTAATAACTATACTCTGCTAACTTAATCAAAACATGATCTTGAACACATTTCAGGTTTAAAGCTAATTAATCACAGAGTTATTCATTTAATCAGGTTGTCAGTGATAAGTAAATAAATTATGATATCAACAATATCAAGTTAACAAATTCCACTGAAGCCCAACTAACCTGGCGCGGCGGGGAGGAGATTTACCATTAGTATCACCATTACATTCCTCACCATCCGACCCCTTATCAGAGGGGGGAGTGTTGGGAACCTCTGGGTGGGTGGACTCATACTCTGCTCTCTGATCATCTACCTGCTTCTGGAGTCCTGGTACTACCTGTTATACGAGGAAGTGTTATTTGGTGTTGTGGTGAGGTATGGGCCCCAAGCTCACGTGGTGTGGCCCCACGGTCACGTGGTATGGGCCCTACGGTCACGTGGTGTGGGTCCCACGGTCGCGTGTCTAGTGGTCCCATTCTGACTTATACCCTGGATTTCTCTCCAAAGGTTTTGTACTTAGTTTTGGGGTTGTGTTCTACCTGGCACAGTGAAATCTGTACCGAAAAGATCGAGGCTATAATAAAATCAAAGGAGAAATAGTTGACACAATTTTAACTTAGAAGTTCAACTTATGACCAGACTGTAGCACTAAATACAGTATGGCTCAGCCTGCTTGTTCAAATTTACAAATAGTGCATATAGCGACAATATTACTCAATATTGAGGATATATTGAATAAATTAAAAAGATATTTTTAACAGTGACCAGCATGATATTTTGTTACAAAATTCACATGAAACAGTTATTTCCAAGTACTATACCAGATAAATCTAAGTAACGAAAACGTAGCGATCACCCTCATAGTTTCAAAAAAATGTAGAAAATAGCAAACCTTGTATACAATAGATTGGAGGGTTCTGTCGTATCTAATGTGCTCTTTGGGATGCGACTGATGTATTACTTCATTGCATTTGGGGCACGTGTTGTGTTCATCGAGATGCTTGACAATACACGTTTTGCAAACTGAAAAAGTTACTCAATTAATTATGATATTAAACCGATCTCCAATTATGATTGTTATTTATTGTATGAAGTTTAGCTGTTACCGTACCTGTTTCACAAACAAACATAATCAAATTTGTATTGTGAAGATTAACATTTCCTTGCTTCATTAGCAATCATTTAAACTATAATATAAAATTGATCAATAAGTAGTATAAAAGAGATCACCAACTCCACTATAAATATGATCATTATGATTAGAAATATGAAAATACCATTTTGTTTACAAACTTACATGTGCACAAACATTCAATGACAGTAGTAGCATCGATGAGATAACCAAAACACAGGCTGCATGTTATATTTTCGTTCAAGTCTTTCAGCTTCGGCTTCATGACTATAAAAGCATTATATTTAGCACTGTATACAGACGATTTATATTTGTATAATCACAATTTTAGCCTTTGATGGAGCATGCTAGAAATGAAGATTCAAGTTTCTTTATATTATTCTCTGGCAACATATCGGCTCTTTAAGATATTTATCAATGTAATGTAGTTGTGTGGAAAGTAATGTAAAAATGTATGATTTAATGAGTAAATTAACGTATCAACATTTGCGAGCATAGTTCGAACGTCAAGAAGTAATTTATAAACTGCTACATTGGACAGCCTTTACAGTGTACATGCTCCAGGCACAACCTTAAGTACATCTTGTGAAAGACGTTTTGTGTAGCTGAGTTTCCTAAACTGCTCAACTCTCTGGTCTTGTTGTGCTGGAGGCCAAACAAGCAGCCTTACTTTAACTAATAGCTTTTCTGTTGCACTTTTCTTTGTTTCTCCCTCATGGCATTTACTCATGTTCTAAACATCACATAGTGAAAATTGGAGAGCCATTTGCAGCTAACGCCTGTTACGCCGTATTCATTACAGGGATTTAGAAACAAGTGACTGGTTTCTTTGCCACTTCTTTTTGAGAGCTATTATATGAGTTGTTAACCAATTCTGTACAACCTAGGATGTGCATACATCAGCCTGAAGAGAGAGATAGTACTGTGCTATATTGATGACACTCAATGAATAAATCCCTGTGGTGAGCTAAGACCCCCATCCAGATCATTCAGTTGACTCCGCCTTGAAATCATGATTAAGGGTTAAATGAAAAGGGCCATACTGAATCAAATGATATTGAATCTTTTAAAAGTTACCTTTATAACACGATTATACGGACTGGCAGTTTGCATGTTCGGCCGATGGACTGTATTTCAGTGGCTGAGGAGCAGCATTTTGCACAGTGGTTAAGACTTTGAAAAGTGGTGGCCAGAAGCTTCTACAATTAACATCCACACAGATGCGTCATTTCACATAGATCCAATAGATTCTCAGATACTCTGTAGACTAGGTGATACTGGGATTCAAACATTAATAACAAATTGGTAATAACAGTTGAAATGTTCGAGAGGAGTGAAGGGAATATTGAAAATCCTTTCCTTCCCCAATTGGGATCCTTTATGATTGGAATATTAACGTAAACAAAAATAAGAGTAAGTTCAATAAAAACAAATTTAACGTCGAAACAATCTCTGAACGGATCAAATACCAATAATGGATTCTGGGAAAGTCCAGACACATAGTATGCAGGACGATGAAATTATTTCAGTTTGACATAAGAAATCGGAGAACAGAAATTTTAGTGATTTGGATGAAATTTAAGACCCAACGAAAATTGCAGAGACAAATTTGCATAGTAGCAAAATTCGATAAAGTATCTCATGAACACTCCATATTCAATATTAAGTTATTCTATTCAATCATTTTCCCCGATATTGTCTGATAATGGTAACTTCAATTCATCAGGAACAGATAATAATAAGTTATAAAAAGTCATTCAATCAATGAAAGTATTATGTAAGGATTATCGGTACCCTTTCAGATCGCAGTTCTTGCCAACAAGTGCAAACAATATATTATGACGCAATGAAAATATCGGACTACGATGTATGGGGACTTACCAACCCATGGCAACATAGAAATATATTTGATATTACATCGTTTCCTGTTAATATAAAACTCCGTTACAAATTGAACTGGGAAGACTACACCTTAGATCAATAAAATATGATAAAGAAATGTATAACTAGACTTAAGTAAGAGTCTGATAGAATATAGAAAACAAAATAGTCTACTGCTTGAAAGCTTAATAATAAACTGTGAAAGAGAGGTTACCGTAAATAAAACTAATCCGATACAACCAAAAAATAGCTCTCACATTCAATGCCAGTGTGCTCATAAATTACATCACATAATCTGCAACTTGTCAGATTTCTCGGGCAACTAGTTTGCTAATTTATTAATAACTTTTGATGGATGATAAGTTTTAAATTTAAAAAAGGCAAAAAGCTGTTTTGTGGTGCGATGAATTTTTGCTGGTAGCGCGATGCACTATTGGGCCGTGCCGCGCAGTCACTAATGCTTCTCGCTAGATTGTAGATCGGCTAGATGCAACACTTAACTGGGCCTCACCGAGCTGTGAAGGATTGATATCGTGAATCAAATCAAATATATATTATCTTCAAGATTACTTTAAAACCAAAACTAATTCAAATCACAAAGTATAACAGCTCAAATATCGTTCTACAAGCCTGTCACGTGCGCGCGTCTGAAAAATTGTTTTTTCTTGATCATAACTTGTCAATAAATGATTTTTATGCTATTTTAAAGATCTTATTCGAAAACAGCGTTTGGTCACTGGTAGGTTATTTTTTATTTATTTGAAAATTCAATTAATCATTATATATATAAATCAAGCGTTACATTTCAGCCATGCAAAATTACAATGACATATTTTGATATGATGATGAAAATCTAAATATTATAGGCTACAATGAGCATTTTAGTAACAAATAGTATGAAAGATCTGAAATTTAAAAAATAAAAACCCTAAAAATATTTACACCCCAAGTTAAAAATATAAATACTTTATTTCTAAAAACACTATCAAATAAGGTGGTTGATCAGTCACTTGTGTCATTACGACGACGTCGTTATATCAAGTCAAAATATTCCCCAAAATAATTTAAAGACGATTCCCGATCAAAAACGTTTTTGGTAGAAAAAGTTTTTCGAGTTACATAAATATTAATGGAGATGCAATTTTATAGATAAAATCAATAAAGCTTAAAAGTGAAGCCCAAAACAAAGTAACACACCCAACAATGGTTGAGATGTGATACATCCAAGCAGTCTAAGTCGACAATAATATCATGTGAGTTAATATAAAACTAGCTCCAATGTTCATGTAACCAGACAGGTTCTACCAATCCGAAGAGTAAAGTAGATTTCCATTCAGTCAGTAGTAAACAGTGTCTAGCACTGGTCGTCCTAAGAGGGACTCCCCATTTATTACAGGCCTGGGTAAGGCCGCGTACATACCAATGGATAGAGCATTGGCCGTCTAGTGTAGGGACTAGACTCCCCAGCTAGGCGTGGGTGGGCCCTGTAGAAATACAGATCTTCCTTCTTAGCTTGAGGTCATCATTATTCACACATTCACTGCAGATTTGGATGAACTTTGGATCTCTGGAGCAGTTTAGGATCGCCAAGTGTGGAGTACCCAGATCTTCCAGATTGGAGACCTCGTTACCAATACTGAGAAGATATGAGGCTTGGTCCCTAAGGTCTTCGTCAACATGACCACAACTAGTCAGTATATGAATTGCAGTTTGTTCTTCATGACCACAGGAGCAATAGGGAGATGGCCATTTCAGTCTGTCAAGGACAAAAAGAAATGAGTTTAGAAGATTGTTTTTGTAAAACAAGCTCATGACTAGAACCTCAGTTTCTCTGCTAGTATGATAAGGGAACTTCAGGGGGGTGGTAGACACCACGGGGATTTGAGACCAGCCCTCCATTTGTAACTGGTTCTTAATAGATTCCTGCCATACGAATTCAGTGAATTGTTTGATAGAGACCTTGGTGTAATGGCAGGCTTTCCTAGAGAGCTCGAACAATTTCGAGGCATCATTCAGTCCAATTATTATTGCATCACCTGGCAGAACAGAGTCAGCATGTACTTCAACCTTCCACTTTAGAAATTTCAACACATCCCGCATCTGGCCCAGAATTTTTGTGTTTCCGGATTTTTGATATACTAATTGATATATGGTACTGCAATATAAGTTGCTTATTGTTTGGCCGGATGACAACTAACGAGAAAAATAAACTTGATTACATAATAATTAATTCGGCTGAACCAACACATAGCTAAAGCCGCATTAACGTTGGGGCCGTATTGTTAATGTATAAACGTGTACACGTACAACAATCCCACAGTACAGAAATTACTGATAAAACAGAAACGTATAACATATAAGCATGCAGTATGATGTATTACACAGAATTACGGTCGGAATTGAGAATCTAATCGCGCCCGTCTACAGTATTCGTGCATGCAGCATATGACATGGACATGTAATGCAATATTTAATTTGTAGTGCAGTGCCAAAAGGGGATTTTACTAATTCTCTCGCCCAACAATTATTTTGTAGGTTTATAACCTACCAAGACGCGCGCTAAATTGTACGGTCTTGAAACAAATATTTTACGAGTATCACCCCGCATTAAAAATTGTTATGTGACTTTGGTTTTTATTGTTTTAGCAGCCGAACAATACGGTTTTACATAAACCTTATATTAATCCCAAGCTTAACCCTAACCCGAGTCTTAAACAATCGAATTCGTGGTTTAATTAATAGCCTGTCACGTGACCAAAATGTTTTTTGCCCATAACTCTCCTATCCAGAAAAGTATTTTACCCAACGTTATGCAAGGTGAATGGTGATTCGTAATTGCAGCGTCCAAATAAACACCGAACTAAATTGCTGTCATACCTTTAGGGCCTCTTCACAATGATTTAAAAAATTTGGACGAGCGATTTAGTGGGAGAGTTGTAGAGAGCGATGTAAAGAGCGTTGTAAAGAGCAATGCAGTACACACTACTATGCCGCGGCGCCGCGCATCAAATAATGCTTTTTCGCTAGATCAGCGAAATGCACCACTGGGCCTCGCCGAGCTGTGTAGGATTGACATCGTGAATCAATGCACAATGCATGTGGGAGCGTTGACAGATGTTACTCGTCTAAATTTCTTCGAAGTAGCGCGCGCTGCTTTTTGTTTCTTTTCGAGGCAAGCTGCTACGAAGTACAAAATATAAACACACGCCGGGCTAGTCCATTAACAATGGACAAGTGGGAGCGGCCACTGCCAACTTTCCTTGCTTCCAATTTCCAATTGTTTAGTATATATATATATATATAACTAGTTGTTGCTTGGTTTCCCAAAGAAAGTGTTCGACTGCAGTTAAGCAGGAGCATCATAACTCGAACAATTGAAACAAATCAAATTGGCGGGCAAACGATCCGGTTCATGGTATGTATAAAACAATACCAATCATCACTGATGATTGGCCCGACCCGAGATAGCCCGACCGCGCGCGACCACCCTTGTTCGTGAACAGGTGTTCGTGAACAACTTATGGCATGGTGGTTACCAGATAAAATGACTGTAGAGGCTCTTACGGGAGGGGATGATGATTAATCACTCTACACTCGACTGTCACGTGACTTTTTAAACACGTTCTCTTGGTGGCCCTGAATGACTATTCGAAATCATAGCCCTCTAATCTGATCCCAACCCTAACCCTAACCCAATCTTTAACAAAAGCATATGCTGAAACCCTAACCCTAACGAGAAATTAGACTAACTTCCGTATATGGTCATATCACGTGATCAAGACAGTTTTTCGCCAATATCTCGCTATGGGAGCATTTTAACCCTATGTCATGGGGGGTGATTCGGAATCAGCGTCCGAAAATACATCGAATGATGTTGGTCTGAACTGTCGGGGGGCCTTTTAGAAAAATTTCGAAAATCGACTGTAAAGTGATTTAGCACGCTCGTACGGGAGGCTCTTACGGGCATTGTCTGCACGATACGCTAGGGACCCCAGATACACCTTACTAGACGTATTTTTGACCGTAGAATCGATTAAAAGTGGTTTCAAGATGATTGGACTGAGTTAGCGCGGTTAAAATCGCAAAAAACCGATTTTTGGGCCAAAAATAGGCCAAAAAACCATGTTTTTTGATAATTTGAGCAAGTTAATTTTGTTGGCATGTCGACAAAACTTGCATGAAGATAGCTAAAAGACAGCTGCACAAGATGGTATAAAAATAAAACAAATCCCTTTATTTTAGCGCAGTTAAAAATCCAAAAAAGTGGTAAAAACTTTGACTTTTTTGCTTGAAGTTTGAATAATTTTTTGCAGTTGTATTAAATCAACCCAAAAATAGTCACATCGTGTTTGCCTAAATTTTTCCTTTCCGAGAAGTACCCACTTCATATACTTTATCGAAGTTTGAATATTGTCACTCCGCAAGCGTTTTTTGCCAAATTTTCGACGCGCACTACGCGCAAATGCATTTAGTTGTTATCAATTGGCACCCGCGCGTTCGTCATAAATTTCAAACAGCTATAACTCAACGAGATTATGTCCGTTCTAGCTCATATTTTCACACCAAATAGAAAATAATGTGATCTTATTGCTGACAAAATATGAATATAATTACTCTATTTGCCTTAGAGTAATAGACTGTCAAAGTTTAAAACGCGCATTGGTATAGCACGTGACTAATAAGGCCAAATTTATACTTCTTAACATATTATCGATCCTTAGACATCATACTATTGTGTCTAATTAGCGATTAGGTCTCTAAACTCGTAGCAGAATACACGTCTTTTTGCCCGTAAGAGCCTCTACTAATAGTTAAATTCGGCGGAATGACAGGCTGAGCGCGGCCCAGTATTCACCTAACCATGTGCTTTCGATCGCGCCACTTCGGGCGCGCTTGTTTCATAAGTGAGGCGGGCGCGCGCTACTGCAAGCGCAAGGGCTCTGGATAGAGCAAGCCCAGTAAATGACTGCATAATAATTGACGGATGTTACTCGTCTAAATTTCTTCGAAGGAGCGCGCGCCACTTTCTTCTCGAAATGTTGGCCTGATGGCAAGTGCAGCTACGAAGTAGCGCGCGCCAGGCCAGATCATTAACAATGGTCAACATAATAACAGTTTGACGTGATATCAGAGGCCTTCCTGCGTGTTGGTGTGGATTCCTGTTAGTGTTAAGGGATCCCTAAACATGTATGTGTGGTTGACTGTAGTCTAGTAGACAGAAGAGTACCATGTCAGGTATGGAATAGTTGTTGTTGTTGTTGATGATGATGATGATGGCAACTGATAATACTCCACCAAAAACGAACGACTTATATCGCTGCTACTTAATCGCTCTCCCAAATTTTAAGAAAATTCTTGTGAAAAGGCCCTTTGGGTATGAAATTGATCTAAATCGGTGTATTTTTAGACGCTGATTCCGAATCACCCCCCATGACGTAGTGTAAAATGCTTCCCTGGAGAATCGTCAATAGTTTGATCCAGCAATTTACTACGCTACAATGAATGGCAAATTATGCTAATCGTAACTAATTGTATCCAAGATACCATACATACCATTCAATTTCATGATTGATTTGAACTGTTCACGTACAGTTGTTCGCGAACTGCCAAAAGGTTCTGAGGTAACAAAAATTGCAAAACATAAAAACAAATGTTTCCCATGCAGACCCAAGCAGGGAAAAAAAAATACATACACTGGATATGATTATATTAGCAGTTTCAAGCTTGCTTTCCATTTTCCCACTTTTTTAGCAAAATACTTATATCATGTTTTTAAGAAACTCAATAAAACAAACGAAATAGTCTAATTTGCATAAATAAACTTAAATACTAAAATAAAGAAATCTGCTCCTAGGATACTGAGTCACTAATCAAAATATGAAGTGAAGAACATACAAATCTATATGATTGTGGCCTTTAGCTTAGCTAGTTGTGTTCTATAGCAAATTTATTATTAACAAGCACCCAAATTATGTTTATAAAAGCTAAGTACAGTACTCAAAAGGCAACATCGTAGTATAAACAGTAGTGAGTAGACCATACTGTAAAACACCGAAGTTATTATTCAAGATTGCTAGTTCTTCTTACCGATAAATATTTGATTTCATCCATTGTAAGTTTGATTTTCCAAGTGTAACCACTTCAGTGACTACACACTAAGGTTATTAATGAAGTTAACAGGTTTGATATTCATCAGAGGGTCAAGTTTTTGCTTGCTCGGTGGAGTGGCTATTGGCGTTGAAAGAAAAAGCCCGTAGCTAAACATATCTGGCTCTGGTTTACTCTCGTAGACGTCACAAATGCTTACTCCGTACATTTTTCGTTTCTTTTTCCCCGATTTGGAAGCTTGAAACCGATCGTACAAAGACTGAGCTCCTCCCTCCGAACGAAAACACTTGTCTGATTTTCTCAGTGGTCTTTTCTCCGTTCCCCGTCCATTGTGTGGGGAACCTCCTTGATCCTGTTTCTTACGATTCGCACGTACCGATCTCATCGCACTAGGGTTTATCCTTTCCTTGATAACCAACTGTTTCAGATCCAACAACCGCCCCTTGCTCAGGAAATGGTCCTGGTTTGCAACAGATTCAGTCCTAAGGGCTGTCCCAGTGTACAACTGACCCGGTGAATTCCTCTTAGCCCTACCCTCCCCCGATACCAGGGCCAGAGAAGTTGTAGATCCAAGATCTACCGGAGCTTTGTCTATCTTGTAGTTTACCAGACTGTCAGAGGTAAGCGGACCTCCCCCCAGGTTCTTGCCTTGTATCTTTGAGTGCACTAGCGCAGATTCGGCGTCACTCGTATGATACTCAATGTTTGGTGGCCAATCTGAAGGGGTAAAAATCACAGGGAAGTGAAAATTTACAGTAACAAAACTTTGTGTACTACTTTAATGGCCATAATTTTAACAGGTCTAAAGCTTGGTCACACAGGTCGATTTGGCAAAATTAAGAGTGACAAATGCAATTAATTTTGTTAAAGAATTCTTATTGGATTCAATCTCTTTTGTTGAATTCAAAACGTCAGTCTCAGCAGAATCTAAATGGAAAATTTCGACTGCATTATTTTTTTCTCGTCATAATAGAACTTTTATTTCTTAACCGCAGATCAGCAGCTAAGCAGCTTGTACTTGTATATCTACTGCAACGTATCCCGCGAAATATGTTTAATAATAATGTCCATGTTATAGCTGTGACTTTATTCTGAATGTATCATGCACAAGCTTGCCCAGTATAAAATATGAATGCTTCTATTGGTGGTATTACTATTACCTTTGCTGTGCGATGATATGCAGTAAATACCGTTTCTAAGTGATGATATGCGTGGAAAAGTGGAGTGCACTGTGCAGTGTACTTGTATCAGTTATATTGAAAGAGTTACAAGTATACTTGTCTGGTGAATTTAATCAGAGAATGACGATAGCTGCAAGATTTAGAGATACGGGCTTCAAGCTATTCTTTTCAGATAATCAAGTATGCTTTGAGAAGTCATGTTTTAAATTCTACTAATTCGACGATGCTTTGTTTTCTTCTGTTTGATATGTCGTGATGTGTGATCGATATTAGATAATAGATATTAGATAATAGATATTGGATAATCGATATTGAATAATCGATTTTGGATAATCGATATTATGATCTATAATTTCCGTCAGTATAAGAGTAGATAATATAAATGTTACTGTTAGTATTAGTGATGCAAAACCGACAAAATTTGCTTCAGTTAAGATAGGACCAATCTTGAAGGCATAAACGTTCAAATGGATAATTTATTTCAAAACATTTAAATCAGATTATAATAAAATCTAATGAAAATCTGACAGAATAGATTAAAATTCAGTAGTGCTAGTACCTAATTTCGAATGGCTACAATCATTTTTGGCTGCGTCTTTTTCAGGGTAAAAAGTGGACCTTTTTCAGGACAAAAGAAACAAAGTGAAGATTGAAAAAAAGTAAAGGTTGAAATAAGTAAAGATTGAACAAAATAAGTAACTGAACTTTTTCAGAGACTGGTGTAGGATTACTAGAGAGAGATGTAGTGTTTTTGATCGAGAGGGCGGTGCTGAAATTATTTATAAGGGTATTTTATATGGGTGGTATGAAGGAATGCTGATACTTAGATTGCAGAAGGGTGTTGGAAGTAGAGGTAGAGGGAATGCTCAGTTTGAAGGGTATGATCTAAAAAAGGGAGGTAAGGAGTGCTGATACTTATCGTCAGAGAAAGAAGCTGTTTTAGGACACTAACCCGGCTCGAACAGTACGGGGGAAACGGTGCGACAAATCTCTGGCAGCATACTGAAGTGCTGGTTCTGCAGTTTCTCTGCAGACTTTGCCAACCTACTACAGTACTGTGTCTGCAGTTTCCGGGCAGACCCCTCGGCTGCAAAGTTGGACAATGGCAAATGTGACATCTTGTACGTGTTATTTCTATTTTTGCTATGATTTATAATTTGTTAGATACTGAATATTCACGGTCTCATTTGTTTCAGATAAAAAAGTTCAGATCCTGAGGAAGTTGACTTGTGCAAATCGTTCTAAAGCTGAAAGTTAGTGCAATAGCATGCCAAAATCACATATTCTAGGGATGTTGAAATTATTCGCACTTTACAAGCACTATGAACCGTGGACATGCAAGTTATCACAGGGGGGGGGGGGGGGGGGGGCGTATTTCAATAACTCCAATGCTTATTTTCGCTCAAAAAGGAACCATTTGACAACCATTTGACAACCATTTGACAGCCATTTGACAGCCATCTTACAATTATTAATCCCTTTGGCTTTCGACATTGATTATTAAAAAAATTGTAGCTCTTCTTACATTTTGAACAGTTAATGTTCCTGAAAAATGTCCGTATAAGCATGAAATGATGCTGAAAATGAATTTGATAAACTGAATTCGTCATTCATGCCTCTAGACTTCTCAATATGAATAAACGGGCATAAACTCGTTTTAAAACAAAACACCCATGCAATATGCATGCACTCTTGTAATACCGATATAAAAATAAACGGCATTAACCCTCACAAAACCATCCGACAGACATGTTCGCTGGTATCTGACTACAAACACAACAAACGAGGCATCAACCAACCAAATAGTGACACATACTGTACTAAGATTTGTCGGAACAGATCACGTGACTACCATCTCACACAGAAACTGACGAACCTGATGCTTACCAGCTACTTGGAGACCCTCAATACAGATAGAGCACTTAAACTTGGTGCCCTGAGTAGACTCCTCGTCGGCTCCTTCTTCTGTCATATCTTCGGTGGAGTCAGGGTACCTTCTTAGTCTTACTCCTGGAGAGATTTTGTTACAGAATAATGAGTTATAGGAAAAGAAGATCTAAAAGAGATTATAAGTATATGTTTACAGGGGAGTGAAATTCGTTTGCATTTCACTTGTTGTAATTTCTTATTGTCACTTGTTGTAATTTCTGTGCTGTAAGTTTTCACTGTATTTGGTATTCTTTTTGCTGTTCTATTCCGAGGTTTATTTGTTTGTTTATAGTTCGTACCTGTTCTATCTGTTGTCCGTCTGTTTGTCCGTATTACAATATTATTTGTCTGGGTATATCTAAAAACCTGGTTTCCTACTCTTGTATCTGGGTGCACGAGCGGGTTGTAGGACTCCTCCTGGTCGTCCGTACAGTTGCTGCTGTTTAGCTACAGTTCTCTCTTGCTGCTCGGTCTTCTTCCTGAGGAAACAAGTTTTTGATTGGTGCCAGTTAGCAATTTAACGTGCTTACTTGTAAAAGTTATATCTGAACTGTTCAGTAACCAGATTACCAAAAGTTTTGTGTTGGGAAAGCTTTTTGAGGCTCGAAATAAAGACTTATTGTAACCATAGTGGTTCTGACAATAACCTTTCAGTATAGCTGTTGATATGAGAGTTTAATCGCCTTGCTGGCACGTACGTTACGTTGGGGTCCATTCCGTATGTCTGGAGGTTCAGGTGGGTCGCGTCATTCTGACTGAAACACAAACCATTTTTCAACCCCAGGTGGCAAACTTCAGTCATATTTGATACGATACGAGAGAAACAATTCGAGAGAAATGTCATTTTAGAAAACTATCTACATTCCACAATGACGGTTTGGGTAAAATCACTATTATTTCATGCTTGAACCAGACTTTTCATCGGAGAAAATAAAATGCTCTTTTGGGGGCAGGATTGGGCCAGATGTGGAGGTTGACCATATTTTTTTCTGACACGTGACAGTGATAAACCTACCAGCTACAAGCATCGATCATTCAAAACCCACTGCTACATAACAAGTTTTATAAACAAATAAGGTTCACCTACCGATCAGTTTCCAAATCTACATACCTGAGAATATTCCACGAGACGGGGAATTTATCAGGACTATCATTAGGACTCAACCCCTCGTTAGAGTTGCTCTTCTTAACTGATTGTTTCTGGTCGTTTTCAGGGTTGAGTGGTAGATCCACCGAACTTATCAGCTGACAGAGAGAGTAAGGAATAATATTCTGAAATATAACCAAAAGATTGCCGATTTTATTTTTGATTTTTAATAACATTTTCTTTGATTTAGATCATGTGGTTTATTTAAACCAAAACTAAAAGTTGCAAAAAACGCAATTACATATTTTCAATATTTAAAATTCATTTCAGTATTCATCTACTATAGTTATACCACATCAATCATCTACCACATCAATCATCATACAATACCACAGTAATTTCAAGACTATAAATGTCTATACCGTACAAGTATAAATGAGACTAACCGCGACTTTAGATAATTGTGCAGGACAGGTAGCAGGTACAAAGCCAGGTTTCTGGGCCGAAGCCGTGGAGTATGATGATTTCTTGGTGTAAATACCCGGCTTTCTGTCGGCCCACTTCCTTATTCGTTCCTAGGATCAGAGAGATTGAATATTGAGGGGACACGTCTTTAAATCAAGTCACCTACTTATTGCTTTATTCATTAAACTATTAAACTACTGCCGTCAATATTCGGCTCAAATAAGGCTGAAATATACCGGTTTCATACATCATGCTGCTCATACTCCTGCTTATAATGTTCTTGCAAAATCAAGCAAAATACTCCTACTTATTGCTCATTACATTCGTTTTGTGTGCTCAACTATAACTATTTAAAGTGATCGGATACAAAAACAGAAAGGCTACAACAACTGAACAACACTGATACCTGAAGATGCCTTACAATGGTGGAGTTGTCTACTGGATTTGTATGTCGCATTCGTTTTGTTGGTCCCTTTTCCACCTGATGTCCCAGGTAAAAAACAAATTATGAAAGTATTACATCAGTAATCAGTTATTTTAGTCCGCAGCAATACATCGAACTATTCAGATTTTCATCATTATATGTTAATCAAGGACCCTAAAAATGATAAGAAAATGTTCCAAACCGGTCGTTTGTCGACATATTTGGGGTAAGGAATGATGTCCTGCCATCCTACTGCGGTCTGCTCTAAGTCTCTAGTGTAAACAAGGGTAGACCATGCCTTCGGATCCTCTCTGTCAGATAAATCTGAGAGTTTTGGTTGGAAATCAATCTTAGAACAAATAATGGTATGTCTAAACTTGAAAAACATCATTACTTGGGCAATCTAGGCAGTATGCACTATGCATGGGTAAATAATTTCGACATGCATGCCAGTAACAGACTGACAAGCTAATAGTAAGGATAATAAGTACAGTATTATTGAACCTAACTACATTTTAAGTGCTCAAGTGGAGTAAGTTATTGAGTAGGATCTACTCGATTCTACTTTCTAATTATCAGTACTTCCTCTTTTCAAACCCCATCCGCGAAGAGAAAACCTTCAAAAAAGGAGGAGAGCCCTCTTGACCGATTCCCGTTCTAATCTCGATTAGACCGCTGGATTCCAGTGGTTCCAGTCACCCGACAGGAATTGGGGACAGCCCAGAGACATTAGCAATACGTCTTACGTGTCAGCCCACAATCCAGGCTTACGTGACTCTGAGTGAACTTACTCACCCTTAACTAACTCTCTCCTACTGATCCCGATATAACTAACCTATAAGTCTCTCTTGCAGTCTCTTATCATGTCTCCGGGTGATGAAGGTACAATCAGGGTTAGAACCAGGAGCTAGAGTGTCTCTGATGTCGTCTAGGATAAGATCTACCTCATTATCGTGGTGGTATTGCTTCACCATTACACACACCGTATGTCATTGCAGGCTTCCTTGTGTGTTATCAAGATTAAAGCAGTGGGGATGTAATTCGAAGATAATAAGCAAGACAGCTTTGTGATATATACTTATATAGCGCTGACAGTTTGATTAATCAAACGGCCGATGAAATTTTAAACTCTTTGAGGACTGTGCGATGATCCAAATGTCATGATGCTATTCAAAGCATGGTAGCGCATGTTCATTTTGAAGGTGACCTCATAGGCAGCGAAGATCAAGTAAATTTGTATCTCTACGACTAAAACTCTAAAGTTAACAACATAACAACACTATTAAGATTCTGGAACAAAATTAAACGGTACGAATCCAGAAAACACATATTATCGGCGAGTATTGCAAGCGAAAAAGAAAACACAGCTCAGCGGTGAGAGCAAGCTATCGAGTGAACGAGTTTAAGTTTACTTGCTAGAATGGCAAGCAACGCCGAGAGATATACAAAACAATAGTTCTCTATTGTAGAGGAGACTGAGGAGTACAGATGACAATGCAGAGGTCTGTTCTAACCTTTTAAATAAAGTTACAGTTACACGTCATCTGCAGTCTGATCATGCATCATGTGAGGGTAACAACAACACCAACGGTAACTGTAACACTGGCTGTAACTGTAACACTGGCTGTAACTGTAACACTGGCTGTAACTGTAACACTGGCTGTAACTGTAACACTGGCTGTAACTGTAACACTGGCTGTAACTGTAACACCAACTGTAACTGTAACACCAACTGTAACTGTAACACTGGCTGTAACTGTAACACCAACTGTAACTGTAACACCAACTGTAACTGGTACACCAACTGTAACTGTAACACTGGCTGTAACTGTAACACCAACTGTAACTGTAACACTGGCTGTAACTGTAACACTGGCTGTAACTGTAACACCAACTGTAACTGTAACACCAACTGTAACTGTAACACCAACTGTAACTGTAACACCAACTGTAACTGTAACACCAACTGTAACTGTAACACCAACTGTAACTGTTACACTGGCTGTAACTGGTACACTAATGACTAACCTTAACTGTAACACTGGCTGTAACTGTAACACCAATTGTAACTGTAACTGAAAAAATTCAGCGAATGTTGTTGAGACTTGAGACTCATAGTGACAGCGGTAAAAGTTTAAAATAATTCTGACGATGACCGTAATCATGAAAATATGACTTGTACATCATAATGTGACGAGGTTTTTTTGAGAAAATAAAAACATATCGCAGATCGCTGTCTTAATAACTCAGAGTCAGACAAGTGATAACTATGCAGCGCAACAACAATAAGCTACTTCAAGTTGGTTTGAAAGCCTAAATATTCCGAAACTTGAATGCTACGTGTTCAAAAATGTTGGAAAGAGGTAACAATATGATCTCAAACGTTTGGATGGTATGGGAATGCATTAACCCTACTTGAATATGTAGCTATGTAGGTTAATTAGTAGATCTGGTCGGATCTGGAAATTTGTATTATCTTATTACAAATTCAAACTTTCCATTCCCTCAGTATTTACAGCACTGAAGGTTAAAGGTAACAGTGGTATTAATATATAAAGGCTTCCGTAAATTTTATTATGATAACTACTCGTCAAGTAACATCATAATTTATATATAATTTGTCACCGTCTTGTATCGCCAATTACGCTTTCAATTAATTATTAAAGACACAAAGTTACAGAAACTCAGAAAAATTTGAAGAATTTCTATTTGCAGCAGGCCACCAAAACTACTCTGTCGATTAGCTAGCATGTCGACATTACAGTTGTAACTTCGCACTACACACTATCCTGACCGGAGATGGAGTTACTAATTGTGGCTGAAGAGTGAGGTGAGTACAACATGTTATTTCTTTATTACGAACAATTTAAAATGTGCGCCGTGCAATCAGATCTCACTGGAAAAGTTAAAACTCTATTAGTTTATCAGATTGTAAATGTTTGAGAATATTCCACCAGCTAACAGTGTTTGGTGAGAAAGTACAGGAAAGTATAGAAGAAACCTGATATAGCGGAAAATTACCCCTTTGTATAACCCAAATATATATATTATTGGCCCCGTAAATGGCGAGGTTGTTTCACCCGAAGTTCCAGCTAATCGAATGTCATGGTCTTCACTGGTTCAAGAGGAATTTAAGTGGAAGAAAAACGACTCCAGTAATTTGGTACAAGACACCTGGCGAGAATCCTGACACCTCTAAATTGTGGCAGCTATTTTGTGATGCAGTAAATTGAGTTATCGGTTATCGGTGCTACTGTTTCAAATTCAAAAGATGAGGTAGAAAAATAGTGTGATATTCATGCCACATAGTGTTGAAACTGTAAAATATGATTGGGTCTGAAGAATTGGGATTCATTCATATTATTACAAAAATTACAGTGTCTGAATCAAATTAAAACTTTCATGATGTGATTCAGACAATGTAATTTCTGACCGTTTTTGGCGTCAGATTACAAAATACTGATGAATAGTAACTTGTTGAATGACGGTTCAGTAATGGAACTTTACAAAGATAATCTGTTCATCCAACCTACGCTTTAATACTAATAGCGTAGTAGGTATACAGTAGTGATCTACTGTTCAATCTACCATATAGTGTTGAGCTATACTACACATACCTTCATAATATTATGGCAATGGAACAAGTAGGTAATAAAGGAACTCGGATCTAGTTAAGCGTCCAGAATTTTTTGATCCACTTTGTGTTACAATAGATTCTTCAAATCACCATGGACAATTGACACCATCATCACTAAACATAATTTGCTCTATTTTATTGGATTGGCCAACTGCTCCATTATCGATGCAAATGCTTTCAATGTAGCTATTAGATCCAACCAGGGATGCTATTGAATTGATAGTTTTTATAATTACATTGTTTATTGGTGATGTCAGGAGTTGGCCATCCTACAAATATATGCGAGATTAGTTCGGTTAGCTGTGATCACAATACGCAGATGAATGTGCCAGCCGTTAAAAATATAAAATTGAACATCCTGACGAGACACTGACAGTCTCCCTTCAGTTGAAAAACCACAACGATATCATTCGCAGGTTATTCGGTGGTTCTTCTAAATCTATATAATCTATATAAAACGGAATGGTTTGACCATTATACTCCTCATTAAATAGTTCTGCATCTTCAAATTCAATCAAATAAGTGTTCATCATATTCTACCCATAGCACGCTCTATCTATCTGTACGAGCTCTATCAAATGATTGTTCAGACAGGAAATTAGGTGCCTGCTCCAACTGGTTCAATTGACAGAGCTGTGGTCATGCTACTGTTAAGCATGTTGGAGTTATTAGTTATAACTGCAACGTAGATAGGTTCGCTAAGACTATTCGACCGTTATGGAGAACTTTGAGAATTTTGAAAATTTTGAGGTTCGTTTTTGATGGACCTTTGAAAAATGCTCTGCTATAATTGCTGCTTATTGTTCGCTGATATTGTTAGCGCAAATATCAATATGGGAGTAATATGTGAGTATGATTATGGCGATACTGGTTAAGGTCAGTTGCAGGTCACTAAAGTCATTGTGTCGGAGCACCAGCAGGACCATACAAAGATAACTAAAATAGATACATGCATTATGTGCTAGTAGGAACTGTGGGCTAACTAAAATAGAGAACTCACGGCCACGACATTGAGCATAATGGAAAGTTCAAGCGACTTAAACCTATTGTTGTTTTTGGGTCTCTTACAAGCGGAAATAGAAAAATATCTACATTACAACATTTTAGTGGAGTATTGTGTTGTCTGCAGTTGCTTGATGTTTGCAGAAAGCTGTTCAACTACTTACGGAACGTTTTATCATTATGATATTTCCATCTATTACATTCTTGTTACTTTATTACCTAACCAAATCAATGCTATGTTTATAATTACAAGTCGTTCATACAGTGTAATTAAATTCTTTGTAAGCGTGATGTGTAAACTATACTTTCCTTGATTATTAATTTAATTTTTATAATTTGTCGTGCAACTATTTTTTTTTTTTTTTTTTTTTTTTTTTTTTTTTTTTTTTTTAAATGAGGAACCTGCCAAACCCCAGGACACCAGGAGGATACCACCGGCAAAGCGGCTAATAGTACCCTCCGGTCTGTGTTGTACCGAAGAAGCTGAGTTAATCGATCAAGACTCGGCTTACCAGCCAAGAGGCAAAATCTGAGCGGCACCAAGGGTTCAGAGAGTGTCATTTCAGCTTCTCCGGTGCTGGATGCCCTGGGGTTTCACATGCACCGTAGCAAAATAAATATAAAAACACACGCACACAATTTTTTTTATTCTTTTAGATAATACGTCGAATAAAGTCAGTGGATATAGAGTAATAAAATGCACATAAGATGGAGAGAAAAAGGAGAGATACTACTGGTTTTAAATGTGACTCTATATCAATACTAGTAGTGGAGATAACTCCACTGGCTACAACTTGTGAAATAAAGGGTAAAGGTAAGGCACGGCTGTAATTTCGAGAGAATAAATAAACAAGAGTGTATAGTGGATCCAGAACTTTGGGCATAAAATGGTCATCAAGGTATAGCGTCTTTAAGGCACCGTATAATATCCGGTTTTTCACCTAATAAGAAAAGCTTAAGATGTTTAAGATATCGCTCCCAGAATAGGGGTTCCTTGTTCTGGAAACTCCTTCCAATAAACCAACAGCAAACCGAATTTATGAAGTTAACACTTTTATCTCTGTGATTTAAGCAAATCAAATAGTGGCGATATGGGTCGTCATAATTTGCGTCAATATTCGATCTAATAAACAGATTTACTCCCTGTAGGAAAGAGCTTGTGGCTGGACAGTCAATAAATATGTGAGAGATAGTTTCGAGGTTGTGATTACATAACGAGCAATTTGGACTATCTTTTTCAATCTTCATTTTATATCTCATGTACCGACAAGTACTAATCCGGTGAAGGAGCTTATATTGGTACTGAATAAGTTTGAAGTTATTTGAGAAAGAAGTAAAAATATCCGTAAAAATACTAATCCAATCAATATCCGTTAAGG